CATTCTGGTGGTTTCTGCCAGCGGTCCTGTGTCCTGCCTCGAGGACATGTGCAGACATCCGTCCACAATTTGCCTCCCGGACTTAGAGACCTACACTTAAATGTGATGGTGTGATGCCATGTTCTTTGACTGCTTTAAAAAGTATCCATTTATTTGTTTTTCTGAGTAGGCTCACCACCATGAGATCAAGACCCGAGATCAAGAGTCAGATATTCTACCAGCTGAGCCCCAGGAGCCCTAAAAATTATCCTTTGAAATAAAGGACAGAGCATGAGTTAACTCGGCCAACTGCACTTCTTAATAAAAGTGAGTTTGGGGGAACCTGGGTGGCTCAGTGGTTAAAGCCTCTGCCTTTGGCTCAGGTCATGATCTCAGGGTCCTGGGATCGAGCCCCACACCGGGCTCTCTGCTCAGCAGTGAGCCTGCTTCTCCCTCTCTCTGCCTGCCTCTCTGCCTACTTGTGACCTCTGTCTGTCAAATAAATAAGTAAAAATCTTAAAAAAAAAAAAAAGTGAGTTCGTCATGAAGCTGGCCCCGCCCAAACCTGCTTGCCTCCAGGTAGTTGTTCTCATGAGAGAGTCTTACCTGTCGCTGCGGAAGGACAAAAAGGACATCCCTAGGAGAGCCACCTGGCCCCAGCCATGCCCCTGTCCTCTCCCAGCAGTGACAAAACGTAAAGTGATGTTCCGTGGCCGAGGCAGGGACACTGCCCCTCTTCTCTGGGGCACGTCCAGCCCCCGAGGTTGTGGGCAGCCCTGAGCACACATACGGGTCTGCTGGGAGCACAGGTGACTTCCGGGGCCGTCCTCACACTGCCACACTACACGCTCTGAGACCCGGGACAGACGCTGTGCGGAAAAGACAGCGGCAGAGCTCTGGGGACGCAGAAGAGCAGCCTGGACCACCTGCAGCTCCAAGAAGAACCCCGCAGGGCTTCCTGCCGACTCAGCCACCCCACAGGCTCCAGGACCCGAATCAGGAAGCCCCTGCATTTGTGGGTAGAGCATGGAAGGAGAGAAAATGTGTCCCTTACCAAGGGGGGACCTTACAGTGTTTCCCTGGGCTCAGCTGAACAGCTCCCACAGTCCCCCCCACACACTCCTGCACATTTATTGCCTGATTACACACGTGATCACAGCTTCTGCTTTCCTTCCTGTGAGAGAGGAGCTCCTGCTCTTTCTTACCAGGTCCCTGGTATTACAGAAAGGGAAGTGGGGGACAAGAGGGCAGAGGAGGACACAGGGACAGGGTTATGGCCAGTGGGGCTGGGGATCAGTGATGGGGCTCAGCAGAGGCCATGGTGAGGCTTCCCTGGGCATCAGCGGTGTGACTGGTCCCTGAACCCCAGGAGCCGGGGCTCCAGAGAGAGGAGGACACGGGGGATGGGAAGGGTCCTGCCCAAACCCTGGGAAGCACCACCCTGTGAGCAAAGAGCAGCCCTGGGGGGATGGCGGAGAGTCTGGGAGGACGGCAGGTGGGACCGGGGTCCAGGGGAGTGGCCTTCAAAGAACCCGAGATGGAGGGGGTTGGAGCAGGAAAGGGGCATCAACTGTGTCACATGGGGGTCACCTCCTGGAGGTCCAGGGGTCCCCGTGAGGTGAGGCCAAGGTGTGGGCTCAGGTGTGAAGCAGGGGCAGCATGGGGAGTGGGTGAGGGCTGCAGGGGAGGAGCCGGCAGGGTTGGGGGACGAGCCAGAGAGATGCACGCAGGAGACGACACGTCCCCAGAGAAGGGCCCCGAAGTCCAGGGAAAAGTCCTCACTGAGCTCTGAGGAGCTCAGCGTGCTGTGTGGGGACGGCAGAGAGGGGGACGTGGGTGTCACTCTGTGTAGTCAG